GAAGGGAGAGGGGGGGGGGGGGGGGAGAGGGGAGAGGAAATGAAAGTCAGATTTGCAGCATGTTTTTGTTTTTAAATGGATATTTGTAAAGCACAAGTCTGGAGGAACAGGGCTGTAAACATACAGAATACTAGCCGCCACAATACTGAAATAATGCCACCTTTAAAATAAAATTTACGCCTACAGAGCACAAAAAGATGTTCAGAAAAATGAGCATCTGTAAGCTTCGGGTCAGAGCAAACACATGCTTCTAGAATCTATGTACATACACTCTGGTATGAAATACAATTTTATGCTGCGCAGAGACACACTCAATGGACCAGGAAAAGAGTCTCAAACTGCTAGTGAAGCTAAACATAGAAACACTGTCAGCAAACAACTCCAGCACATTAGCTTTGAAGACAATAAAAGATTTTACTGGAATTGTAACATGATCTTGACACCTTTCCCCCCACCCTCCATATTTTCTACTGTTAAAATATGGCTTCCTTGAATCGTTTAATCCTAAAAGCAGGATTTCTATACATTGTAACTATGTGAAGCTAGAAGAGTTAATATATGACTTTGCAAACAACACAGTGCATCAACTATTTGTCTTAGGAATACCTGGTTCTGCACAGTAACGAAAGTTAATTAAAAATAAAAAAATAACAGAGTCACACTTTCTTCAAAATTTAAATTTAATTAGTTTGACCCATGGAAGCCCTCCAATGAAACTCAAATACCACAAGAATTCAAGTATTATGAATGCCATGACATTGCAGCACTAACAAAAAGTCCCACAAGAAAGAGGCAACATGAGCAAATGCACTTTGCTTCATGACAGTGACCAATATTGAAGGATAAAGCCCTTTATTTCATGCAGCGTTTCTACCATATTTGCAAAAGCAGAAGAACGGGTTTTGTTAAAATTTCATGCTAGAAAGCTGAGAAGTTATTCCTCAGTGCAGAATCTTGCATACGCTAGCTCTACAACAGATCAGAAGGGCAGCTTTCACCCAAAAGGTAAAGTCCCATCCATTAGAAGCCATGCAAGACTCAGAGAAAGGCCCTCCCAAGAACTTGTGTTTGCTGTCATTTCCTTTGGATTTCTAAAGAAATAAGAACCACAACCAACTATGCTTTCACCCCAAACAATTAAAACCAATGGATGAAAGCAACCTTCACAACTACTGCTGTCCAAACACCCAAAATGGTAACTATCTGTATTGGGTTAGTACATACATTTGGAACCAATACATACCTCCAGATAGTTGGCTCAGGCATCCCAGGATCTGCACCTCTCTTAAAACCTGAAGTGAAACATACGTATTTTTATATATATATGTATGGTATGTATGTGCAGATTCCTATGTAGTTAAATCACTATCAAATTATTATTAAATTGCAATAAAACAGAAAACCTACTAAGCAGAAAATTGTGGTTCATGAAGTTGTGTACTAACCTGAATAAAAACTAAACGTTCTTATCAGGGTTAGAAAACAGACAAAATAAATACAGCTGCATGAAGTTTTTTGGTTTGATTTTTTGTTTGTTTTTAAATTCTTACCTTCATCTTTATCTGACTTAAAATTCAGGGACAACTAGCTGTGTGAAATGGAGGAAGTTATCTACCCCAGAGATCAAAACATACATACCTATACACGCACAAGCACGCAATTTTAAATGCTGTTCAGAAAGCAGCCTAGCAGGGTGGTACCAACAGTGACACACATAACTGGTATAAGTGAGCACCTCGAGTCCTAACAGGAAATGTCCTGCAATGACATCTGATGCAGAACTTCGAAGTAACATTTCAAAAACAGTTCCCTCAACTTACAGAATTCTAATATTAAATCATCCTAAAACCTTCCTATTTTTACTGGCACTTTTTGAAAAGCTACCTAGTACTAAAACTTGCAAAGAAACAACATGTTTATCAATCTAGAAAACAAAAAGAAAGTTAATTGTGAAGAGTTCATCCCTAGCTAATGACTCAAATACCAATTCACTAAAGCAAATGCTTCAGTGTATGAAATATCTTTGCCTGCTGGACTGTAAAAGTCTTGAAGCGGAACCACACAATTCATGCGCTGTGCAACACACTCTCCCACACTTGCTATCTAGAAATGGATGTTACATGGAAAATTATATTATTTTCCTCATTTGCAGAAAATATATAATGTCAGCTTGCCTGAAACACAGGCCATGAAGGTTAATGGAAAAACCTCCACTATCTTCAAAGAGCTAACCCAGTGCACGTGAAGTTAACCTTGTGTGTTATTTGAGACTATTAAACATCCCGACCCACTTGCTTTGGTTGCCATACTGTCCAGCAAAATTGCTTTAAAATTCATGAAGTTGTATTAGAAGTCACACTCTGTGTGTATGAATGTTTCTGGCTTTTTCCACCCCCTAGTACTTTTAAATTAGCATGTCAGGTTTAACAAAGCTGTCCTGATCTAATTTCCCTACTTAAAACAGGGGCAGCCACTTCAAAGCAAGTTTAAAAAAATACAACCAAAATACCTGGCCAATGATCTATAGTACATTCACATACCAGGCTCCCTCCTACATCCTCTGTGCACCCCATCCTGACCCAGAGAAAGCTAAAAGCACAACAATTCTGAAAGTTTCCTCATCTGTGTTTAGTTTAGCTATTTCATGTCTATTTCGTATACACAGGTGTCAATACAAAAATTTACCTTGGATCAGTGACACCAAGGACTGTGTAGCCTCTTGCCCTTCCACTGCATCGCACCTTCCCCTCACAGACTCAAATGTAATCCCGGTACAAAAGAGGGTCTTCCAATTCTACAGACTTTGAGTGCATGCCATCTCCAAACTCTAAATGCCTAAGGCAAGCAAAGGTGGGACCTGCGCATCCCCCTCTCATCTGTTTACACTTAATGTCCTTTCATTACAGCAGACGAATTTATAAGGTGGCAATGTAGACGTGGAACAGCACACTTATTTTCTGAAGACATGAAGTTAAACTACTACAGCTTAGTTTCTCACTGCTATGTATCAGAAATATACTAGGCACCCTGATATTTATTAAACTGTTAACACAGTGAGATGGCTTTATATGACTTGAAGTAACTTATTTAATTTCCCCTTGTATCCTCAGAACAAAGAGCATCTTTCCCATATTCATAGATACTGTCATAAAACTAAAAAACAAACTTTACTGAGCAAAGTTAGGTCACAAAACACTGAAATTCCCACCCAAAAATTATCAATTTAAAATAACTGATAAACTAGAAGTGGAAGTATAATTAAACTTTAAATCTAATACTGCCAATTAGTTTTTTCTATAGTATTGGAGGTGACCTCTTTTACTTGTAATTGTTAAAGCACGTACGTAACTGGTGAAAAGACTAGCTTTTCTCCAATTGTTATCTACTATGTGAACAATCAAAGCCCTTCCAATTGGACACTGCATTCCCCTCAATTAAAACAACCTATCAGCTTTGACTGTAAACACACCAAGCTCCCAGCCCTCCTTGTTTGTGTTCAAGGCAGAGATTTAGGTCTGACTTATTTAGATGCTTTTCCCAATAGGCCCAACAAAGTTGGGGCAGAAAGTGAGCCAGATGAAGCACGGGGATGAGCCTTCCTGGGACCCCAAAAAACAGCGAACAAGTATGTCAGGCCTATTGCACACATGAGTATCTTAAGTAGGTCAGGCTTTTTAACAAGGACAGCTGATGGCACACAGCCCAAACTCAGCAGGAGAACTACCATGTGGCAGCGATGCTCTGCCAGCCCCATGGCAGGAGTAAGCAAAGCACATCCTGGGCCCCAGGCATGACATCAAGGCATCCCCTGAATGCTCCACAGGAGCCAGGCCATTTTGGGAGAGGCGGTAACCTGCACCTAGCTGGAAATTCAACTGCAGATAGAGGCTGGCAACCCCCTCAGCGTCAGGAAGCAGAGCCCCAGGCTACGGGCAGCTTTCTCCTCACACACGGACTCCCTACTGCAAGAAACACACAGCTTGCTCCATACAGCCGTCAGTCACTGAATGCGGGATTGAATCGTTGGCTGTTAAGCTGCCCCGGTGCGTGCTCAGCCCGCTCCCCAGAAGTGCCCGCCCCGCCGCGCCCCTCCCCTCCCCGGGCCCGCAGGCCCAACGCGCCCTCCCAGGGCTGCAACAGCCTCCAGGGAAGAGTCAGAAAAAAACCTTTTTAAGGGGAAACAACAAATAATTAACAAAACCCAACTACCTCGCAGCTTTCTCAAGAGCAAGTGCCCCAACCCTTACCCCGTGGGTCCCCACGGGCCGCCACACCGGGCCCCTCAGCGCTCCCCCGCCCGCGCATGCGCGCAGAGGGGCCGCAGGACCCCGGCCGCGGCGGGGCGGCCCTCCCTCACGCACGTGCCCTTCTGCCCCGCACAGCGCGCGCGGTCCGTTAACGGCCGTTAACGGCCAGTAACGGCCCGAGCGGGCAGCGCGCGCCGACGGCCGCCCCCTCCTCAGCGCTCCCCCTCCTCCCCCCCCAACCGAGCGGCCGGTCCCTCCCCATCCCCACTGACCCAGGTAGAGCACGACGGGGATGAAGCCCCAGCGGATGGCGAACTGGCCGCCCTTGAAGAGCTGCTGTAGCCGCTGCTTGGCCTCCTTGCTAAGCTTCGGCATGCCGGCGGCGGGGCAGAGAGGAGGAGGAAGGGGAGGAGGAGCCCAGCCGCTCTTCGTAACCCTGCGCCAGCGGCGGGGGGCGGGACTCCATCGCGCCGCCGCCGGGTCGCGGGGAGGGGACACGCCGGTGCGAGGCGGTTCTTCCCTGAGAAGGGCAAGAAAATGGCGGCCGTGGGGGTCCTGGCGCTCCTCCCCGCCTATCGCGCACGCGCAGTGCGGCCGCGCGCTGCCGCCTCAGGTGCAGTGCGGCCTGGCCTGCCGCGGCTTGGCACCCCCGCAAGGCCAGGGTCACCGGCCAAGGGCAGCCCGCTGTTCGAGGGTGGGGGGGGGTTTACAAAAGCCGTGGGCATTCTTCCTCTGTCTGTAGGTTCTGCGTTTATTTAATTGTTTTGAGTTGCCTTTTTATTTTCTCCCCCCCGGAGCTCTCAAGGTAGGCGCGCACCTTGCTGGCCGGCTCTGGAGGCGAGGAGGAAGTGCCTTTTGGTAAGTGGGAGATAAAGGTGGAGCGAGAAGTAAAATGTTTCTGGGTGAAATTGGAAATGCCTCTCTGCCTTTGATACCGGAGTGTGCGATCTGTTCGGTCTGTGGAAGTGCAGAGTTCTGGGAAATAATGGGGAGAAGTGTTCTGGTTTTAGACCTAATATCTAAAAAATGTCAGTACGGCACTTAGAGTTTGTTGTCGTTACAAACTCAGAGCCTGGATTAAGTCCTGAGGCACTTTCTTTTCTGACTAATAAACGAGAGGCCTCTGCAAGAACCCCTTGCAGCACCCTAAACACTGAGCTGTTTGTATGACACCACTACTTATGAGACATCTTGCTGCATGATGTCTGTGCCGTTGACTCTGCCGGTTATGTTATATCTGTACCATGTTTTCATTGTTTTTCAGGTAGTCTGTTGCCTTTTGCTGTAATGCCAGATCCAGGTCTTCAGGTAGCTAGTATTACTAATGTGGCTGCAGTATTTAACATTGCCAATCTGTATCATGTCTGCTAACTATATCTATATAACTATAAAACCTATACAATTTATTTCTTTAAAAATAAAACAAATCTGAGTGGTACTATGGATTTGAGTGCAAACAAAGTAACAATCTTTTTTTTTTTTTTCATTAGAGCTCCTGGGGCCAGTGAAGGAGAAAGGGCAGTCTGAAGTGTGACAGCATTCAACAGAACCTCATCAAATGCTTTTAGAGACCTTTACTAAGAACTGTTGTTGTACGTGAAAATTGAATATTACCTGCTGCAAAACTTCACTGTTGTTTGAAACTTGGCCTTCCCATTCCCCTCATCTTCATTTAATAATGAAAACGAAGTGTTAAATTTAAATACTGCTACCTTTTATGGTAAGTAGTTCCTCTAAAAACATAATAGTTCTTAAATGCATGTTTTTGTGATTGCATGGATTGCTTGGCCAAGGATGAAAACAGTAATCTGATTCCTTACATACTTTCAATGATACGCAGAAATCTGATGGATTAAAGGATTTTCTGAGGCCAAAACTAATACCCATATTTACTCACTCTTTATTTTTAAATTAAGCTTCTTTTTTTTTTAGCATCTGAGCAGTGATGGCTTCAGTAGCTCTAGGAGGATTTTCCTGTAAAGATACTTGAATATAAACCTTTTATGTGTCAACAGATCTCAACTAGACTTCTGTTGCTGAAGAATATGTTGTTATAATGGAATACATCTATAAAGATTTTAAAGGACTTACAAGATGCTTGGTTTAGGCAAATTTTTACTGTGATCAAAACAAGATGAGGAAAACAGTGAATATATTCTGATTTCTAAACCAGGCTTTGCTCTCAGTATACTTGTTTTTATACCAATTCTAACTTTAGTACATTATATTAAGGCAAGGCAATCATTAAAATGACAACTTAAGTATTTGCAATCAGTTGACAGCGTGGGATGTGAAAATGAAATATTTGATACGTAGAATTGGAGCATTTGAAAAGTAAGAATTGTAATTAAAAGTCATATTCTGCTTCCTCTCTTCAGTCAATGTTTGTTCTGATAGTCTTTCCTGGCATCCGCCTACAAAAAATAAACATGCTGCTGAAACAACTTTTTCTGACAAAGAAATATTTGAAAATCATAACTGATTGATGCACAACATTCGCTTCAGTGATTTACAATAGTGCTTTTGGATGCACTCTTTCAGATTTTACAAGATGAATGTATACCACAACAAGCTACTAATTATCTCCTGGTTATAAGCAAAGAGAAAACAAGAAGTAAAGGAAAAAGAAGGACCTCTGAGTTGAAATATGCCAGATGGATGTAGAACAGGTTTATGTGGGTTTTCTGCTAGAATATGAGTTCTGGTTTTTGTCTTAAGTCACTGTTAAAAAAAAATGCATACTTTCAGTTACTGTGTGTATCCCTAAGTATCCTTTTACTTTGGCACCTTCAAAACAGGCATGGCGTTTGTTAAGATTTTTTTTTTAAAGAATAAATTCAATTTTACTTAAACATAGCTTTAATTTAAATAAAATGTAAAGCATAGCTTCAATTCTTACTTCAGAGATAGTCTAGGTTTTAGTGTTGTCATTATAATCATAGAGTTTTTAACAACTCATAATGCAACTTCCATACATAATTTTTGTTCAGAGTTTGTCTATTTTAGCATAATCATGTGCCATATTTAGTCCAGACAAATGTTTTTAGATTTTATTAATTTTAAAATACTGTCAAGTATACACAAATATATCCTCCATATATTAACAGCTTAATTCATGTATCTCTACATTCATTTTAGACTCTTCCCACTAATGCATAGACCACCAATTATGTTTCAGGAAAATATCTGTCAGTTTTTCAGCGTGGCAACACTTCAGTTAGCTTTATTAAAAATCTCTAATACCAATCTCCTAGAAGTGCAGAATGGCAGTCATTTTAGATAGTTTGATTTTTTGGAGTGTGGTTGAAGAGGGTGATTTGTAACAGTACATACAGGACTGATTAATGAGATTTCAGTGTTTTTTTGTATACCTTCCTACCTAAACCAAAAAAAACAAAACAAAACAACCAAACAGAAAACCTCAAAACCCAGCAACAATACAATACCCACAAGCCAGTAAGGACAGATTAGTTGTGGGCCTTTCACCACTTCCTGGTAATAGCTTATGGACTCCTAAAGGTTTTACTTTGAATGATGGCCATTTCAGCAAGCATTTTAGCAGACGCAAGGACGTTCAAGGAGCTTCTGAAAGTTCCTTATGTTCTGCTTTGTAAAGTCTTTTAGACACACTTGGCGCAAGCTATGAATCTGACCCTGATTTTCAAGCATTTAAAAGGTCCAAGTAAAATGGACCTCTGTAATACTTTTATTCTTTCCCTTTTTTTTTCAAGTGTACATTAAGTACATATCTGAAGAAACAACATTTTGCTCCTTTATTTTTGGTTTAGGTAGCAGTCACAAGAGATTAGATGCTGGTAAGTGTAACGAAGCATGAAGATGACAAGATAAATGAACCAGAAGCTTTTCAGCTTGATCACATCCTCCAGTGCATAATGGTACAGATTTTGTATTCCAGACACAAATGTCACCTTGGGGTTGGAATCATGCTAGATGAATCTATGTGAGTAAGTATAACTAGAACTAGAAGATAGCTTTTTCTCTCCCCCCACCCTCCAATTACCTTCCTACTTTAAATATAGAAAGGAAAATGAGTCCTCCTGAGTTAAGAGATGAGTTAATTGCATGTGGGAATTCTGATGGAAAGTTTTCTCTAAAATAAACGCAGTAATAAAAGTTGTTCTTCCTTCCTTTTGCATTTTAGGGGGAAGGACTGCTTCTAGAGAACTAGACTAGACTGATACTGGTCTCTTTTAGGACATTAGTACTTGATTACTACATAGCACTATATATTAGAATTGTTAATTGTATCACAGAAAAATTATTTTTTGTAGTTTTTCTATTAAATGTCTTTAAAACCATGTGCAGAATGTTACTTCCTATGTTGTATATTAGTTCCAGCAACTGAAAAGAATGATATGCTGGTGGGCTTTTGAAAACCTGAAGAGCAAAAACCTGCCAGGGAACCTAAGTGGGACTTTAAAAAGAAATTTACAAATTATTTAACTACTATTAAAAAATTTTAAAATAAGTGCTGACTAAAGGTCACAATTAATAAATTGTATAAGCCTGTATTAATTTAGTTCCTTCACTTCATTACAGAAAGACATTATTGATCCAAAATTTATTAGCAGTGTTTCATTAAGCCAGTGGAGGGCAGACTTGAATTGGAAACTATTTTTTGCTACTTCAGTTACTTGAACTTAAAATACCAGATTGTCATCAGCTTTGAGCTCCAGGGACTATCTCATCAGTTCTCTACTATTCTAATTACACTTGTGCTGAATAAAAGCTTCTTTACAATTGCTGTTTGACAAAATGAGTGTTTTGCTATGTCGCAGTAAGAATAGTGAATGTTTAAATAAAGCTGCTAATATGAAAGCAGATAAGTCAGGGTATGAGCAGCTGTGTGTTACTCACAGGGGAAAATCCACACTGCTTAGTAACTAACTATGTATATCTTAAAATGGTTTTTGAAAGCTAGTGAATATCATCATCCTCCTTTTACAGTTGAAAAAGCTAAGCAATAGAGTGGTAGCCTTGCAAGTTACCCATCTAGGTGACCTACAGAAGCAAGAACAAAATGCAGATTTCCGAGATCTGGTGCAGTGCCCAAGCATATCTTTTGCACAAATAACCTATGTCATGTCTAACTCTTGCAACCTATGGAAAGGATTGCTGGCAGCCCACATTGCTGAGGAGCTTACACTGATGAAATAGGCAAGTAACCTGACAGGCAGGTTGTAGCTCTTGAGAAAAATATTCTCCTCAATAAGAAGGATGGCAACCAGGTGGTTAAAGATCTGTTTTAAGAATAGTATTCTGTTACTGAAACAAGTACTCTGCATTTTTATGTATATTTGTCATTCTTTAAGTTAGGTTGTACTCTTCCCAAGGAATGAAGAGCCTTTCTATGTAGACCTTTAAAAGCTGTTCCAATCTCAGTACTAGGAGTGTACTGTTAAAAAGTCAATTTGCATACAGGTGAAGGAGTAAGATGCTAATAGACTGGTTCTTCCTCCATGTCATCTTTAATTAAGGGGGTTTCGAATTATGAGTCCTACAGTAGGTTTCCCTTTAACTCGCCAAGCCCACCCTATTTACCTGTGATCAGTAGCATTTGTGGGATTAGCATTGACCATCTATTCCATTTTCCTTGTATGCTTAGGAGGTCATTAGCCATTGTAACAGCTTTTTCAATTATAAAAATACATTGGTTATTTTTAATCTATAAGCCTTGGTGTAAATTGTTCTTTGTTTCTAAAGACTGGAGGCAGGCTGTTACAAAGCCTGCCATTTCTAAGACCTGTATAAGATACACCACAGAACATTTGGTGCTGCATATTGAAAACTCCATTTGTAGAATGAACGAGCACATTGCACAATGCATTTTTTTTCCCTTTTTTTCTTACTGCTAATTTGCAGTGGACATTTGTTGATGATGGGAATTAGTCATCGGTTTGTATGACTCCAGTGAAAAGGACCACATTGAAGATTATAAATTAGAATGTGGATGAGTGGGCACTTACAGTTTGGACTCAAATACTGAATAACCTGTTACTGTGTCATTAGTTTCTGGTGTGTTTCCAGACAAATCATGCTAAAATAGGAGTCAGAAATATCTGGCAGTGGTTTAAAGTAAATTAAAACAGTGTGGGAATTATTCCAAAACTTATTACTGTAAATTCAAGCAATGAATTTCAGGTTAACCTCCGAAGAAGTAAGTCCAGGGACATAGATGTGCCGGGAAGGTTTTCAGACAACCTTTACATTAGCCTGTTACTGCCTTTTAAACTATATTTGAGATTTTCTAAGTACTGTGTAAAGGTTTGTAAGTATAGATTACAAGAGTCCACTTTGAATTCCTTTAAGAGTCTTGATTATTTCTCCTTGTACTTGACAATTTTACACCTCACAAAGTTGACATCTCCAGAACACTTTCTATAAGAGGCCTGAAAATGCAATTGTCTCAAAAGGGAAAAGATTTTTTTTTATCTTCTGCAGAAGGTAAGCTCTCCTCTTCTCAAAATAACCACTAATTGAAGTCATTTATTTACAGACTAATTTTATAGTAAACCACTGTGTCCCTTAGCTCAAGAAGCAGCAAGAAAGATAACGATTCAATTAACTAAAACTGCTGCTTCGTGGATTGTGGTTCCCAGTGTCAAACTTCTTTAATTCATTCCAAACTGTACATTGCTACCTATAAGTTAAACAAAAAATATTTCATACTCCCAGTGAAAATGCTATGATTTTGGGAAGGGTACATATAATATACCATATTTTGAGTCTAAAGTTAAACCTTAATTTCAAGGTAGCAACAATACCTTCCATAATTTTTTAGATTTGCTGTATTTCAGGGTGAGGGGGCTTTAGTTCTCTCATTTAATGCCCTCTCTCAGTCTCTTGCAACCCTGCTAATGTGTTCTTCATCCTCAGTGTGGAAGTACAATATACTGGAAGAGCCAGCACGTTCTCCAGCAAGAGAGCAAAGCTATGGATTCATGGGAAAGACAACATCCATCTGCCCCCCCAGATAAATCTAAGCCCATCTTCTCATCTTATAGGTGGCTTCCTATACCTGTTGCTCTGTGGTAAGAAAGAAGACTTTCCATGATAAAATTCCCTTTATATTAAAATCACAGATAAATCCACTCTACACTCTTGAAGTTTTTTTGACAGATAACTTTTAAGCTGTAAACATAAAAATCATGTATAAATAGAAAAAGTGTTGATAAAGCAATCATGTAAAATAAGGTATATATGAAAATTAATATTAAAAATGTCCCCTAAATATGGGGAAAATGAGAGGTAAGTTCTACCACTGTAAGTTCTACAGCTCTACCTCCACAATGATCTTTTCTTACATTAACGGTGTATATTCTCTTTTGTTTGTACCCAAGTTTCAAGTTTGCCTTTTATTTGTAATATATATGTGAAATGTTAAAAAAAATAATTATTTAAGAGCAATTAATATATTACTACCTCGGAAGCATGTTGTTGTTATGTGCAGTTGTGTTTGTTCTGCTGAACAGGCCCAACTCAAGTACAGAGGGAGTTACAGATGATGCAAAATAACTGACTTCGAGCAGTAGCTGTTGCTCTGGGCAGATTGACCAAAGGCCTCTTGCTGTATTTGTTTACATGGAAACAAACGGCTAGATATATACTGTCTGAATAAAGAACATGACATTGTTATATGCCTATGACAAAAAATAAAGTAGTATTTTATTGGCAACGTATACTTAGTTTTGGATTTTAAAAAAGAAAGAAATTTGAATATGCCATGTATGAAGCTTGTATTTGATCAAAATCAATTACTCTGGTAATGGGTTTTTCAGAGATGGGAGTTTTAATGACACTGAAAAGATAATTCTACATCAATGAAAATTAAAGGCTGCTGCTGTCAAGTTGCCAGGACCCTTAACTATGCACTGAAGTGTCCTTCTCCCTTTAAGTAAATTAAGCATGTTTATACTTACTGTCACAAGTAGCAGAAAAACACCAAGGGTTGCTTCCATGTTTAGAATTTTGTGGAGTCTACTACCTGGGAGCAGACTCCGCTCAAATTGTCTGAAACTACTAATCACTAATCTCGCTCTTGACATACTTCAGCCCCCAACAGTCTGCTGCAGCTTCTGTTACACCTTCTGGGAATCTGTGTATAGTAATTTCTTTTTCTCCCCAGTTGGCTCCAAGCCAGAAATACATCCATTTGCACAAATGCTTCTTAACCTTGTGCACACGGGGGTGTTTTCATTTTATTTTGTCTTTCTGCTTCTCAGGTTGTTGTATGTTTTTATAGTAAATTTAGTATTTGTTGAGTTTTCTGTATAATAAACCAATGGTTATGATGCATTTTCTAAACTACTGTTGGTTTCATTTTAAGTGCATTCAATAAAATTATTTCTCCATGGTCATCTTACGGGCATCTTACTGGAACATAAGAGTTACAGGAATCCTAAACATTAACACATTTAATCAGATTTCTTGTAAGGTCATGTTCTTCCAACTCAATAGGGCATAAGGCCTGGTTTATAGAGGGAGGGCTTCAGCATTTGCAGAGTAGCCAGCACTTTTGAAGGCTGAAAAACCATTAAGGCACAAACATTTCTCACCAGCCACCCGGCGAGTTGCAGTGACCCAGCCATCAAGAAACTGGTTGATGACTCAAGGGGAAGGTTGTGTGCTTCCTGTGGGAATGATGCTGGTATCCAAACGAGACTGTCTTAAGTTAACTTAATTCTGAAAAACCTGCAGCTCACGCACATATAGTATGTTTATATGTATAGACACTTGCGCATGCATTTTATGTATATAAATGTCCATATACAGTACAGAACTAGGTTTATCAGAATTAATTTAAAATGAGCCAGCTTGGATATCAATACCAACACCATTACTGAGTATATATGTTTATACATATGTGTATATATGTATGTACACATGTAGCAAGCCTAGGCTACACTCAATATTTCAGCTACCTAGAACCACACATGCAAATCATAGAATCAAAATTAGGAACATTTTAACTGGAGTGATTAGGTTGATACATAGGAATTCTGTAGTAGAAGCAGAACAGGTAGTCCTGAATTTTCTGATTCCAGTTGCTACAATTTTTTTTTAAAAAAAAAAAAAAAAAAGCTTTTTGTGCAATTACTTTACAATTGTGGTGAATGCTACCCCAGAGTCCAGCACAAACTTTGAAAAAGCCAAAAAGTGTGTGGTGATAAAAGTAGTCCAGGACCATGGCTCTATGATGGGTCAAGAACAAGGATTCTGCATTAAGATTGTTCATAGGGCAGTGTGTGGCATCTCTTACTACATTCTTCTGTGGGATGTTAACCACATTGAACTTCCATTTTTAATTAGATCTCAATGTTAGAAAAAAATGCAAAGTCTAGCTTGTGCCAAATTTGATTTAACTCCATCTTGGATAAATCCAGCCTTAGAGCTTCCAGTCCTCTGGGATGTCCACATGCTTGTCCCAAGAAGACATCTCTCTGCATTAGAACCCGAGGAGTAAACTTAGATCAGTGAAGTTTTGTCCTTTTTAAGGTGTTGCATCATGCATTTGCAATTTTTTTCCTCCTCTTCAGGCAGCTGGAGTTTCCAGGCCATCCTGCTTAACTGTGGCTGTCGCTCAAGTCGCTGACATGGGACACACCTTGTGTCACTAATGACTCCAGTTACAGAATGAAGAAAAAGGTTACTGAGAGAATGGATTTTAAGATTCTACTGCCAAGTAATAGTGAGTAGCTAAAACAGGGCCAGGAGCGTGCAGGCTTCTACTGGTCAGTTTTCAGCTGATCAACATTGGTTTTTAATAACTAGGTGCAACAGACTAATTAGTGACTTTACTGTGCTGTCCTGCATCTCAGAGTGTCTAAAGCTGTCAGGTAGTGGCACGCTCTAACACTGGCTGCTGAAGGCAGGCTTGCCCCTCTCGACTCCATACCCAGCGCTGATGAGGACTGGCAAACCTCAGCCTCAGGATTTAAGGTGCAGTCAGGATTTAGCCTCCTGTCAGTGATAACACGTAACTTTCATTGCTGGGCACAAGCAGTAAGATATTAAACCGTGAGTGGTGGCTTTTCTCCCACTAACAGTAAATGTAGAGCAGTAACTCACACCAGTGGGAGCGGTGTGTTCAGATCCTCCAGCACACGTTACGGGAAATGCACGCTATAAGTTCTCCATTTACTATTTTGGTGGGCATAACTTTGTTATTTTTCAAGCTGTTTATATTGGCCACCTCAGTGTTTTAATTATTTCACCTGTACATCAGCATTTTAATAAGTCTGTGCTTCAGCCGATTAGGGGGCAAGGAGCCCTCCACCCCCAATTTTAGAGCTTTCTTTCACTGAGTGTGATACCTTAACATTTACAAACTTCATTTACATTTCAACAGAGCATTCATGTGCATGCTGTCAAAGACCCTGTGTGGCATTAAATGATATATTTCAGAGAGATTATAATTGCTAATATAATGGGATCAGGAATATCTACAGCAGCTGTAGAGAATTGTAACAGGAAAATGAAGGCTGGTATGAAGGCTGAGTGGAAATGCGTGCAAGCACCAGCAGCAACGGCAGAACAGAGGGTTAAAAGAATGGACTGGTTTGTTAACACAGAAAACCATTCCCAGCACAAAAAGACAGAAGGCAAGCAAAAAAGTTTGATAAATGCTGTGTTACCTGGAAGCAGGCAGTCCATCACGAGACAAGAAGAAATAAATACCTTTTACCTCAAGCCATAACACTGTGACATCAGGGTGGGCTCTCGGTGGCATTAGTGCTGTCGTGTCTTGCTTTTGCTTTTAACCTCTTCATGCGGGATATTCGTTTCCCTCCTTCACAGGAACCACAACCAGCAGTTGTGACTCCTTATTTCTTTGTTCTCTGTTGGTGCAATTTCCAAGTCAGTCTACAAACAACTAGATGGAGGCAGCCACCACTAACCTAAGAGCAGCTTCGGGAAGAGCTGATGCCCCTGTAATCCTGGGAAAGAGTCTTATGTTGCAAAATACCATCTGAGAAAAAGGGAAAAGGTGTAATGGTATTTTTGTTTCCACCTGACAAAGCAGACCCATACCATAACTACACGACCGCAGGTAGTGGGATGTATGAACACTTACATTTTCAGCTCAAATACCAACATTTCTGGGCACGCTGCCCCAAACAGTGTAGCTAAAACAGGGCCAGGAGCGTGCAGGCTTCTACTGGTCAGTTTTCAGCTGATCAACATTGGTTTTTAATAACTAGGTGCAACAGACTAATTAGTGACTTTACTGTGCTGTCCTGCATCTCAGAGTGTCTAAAGCTGTCAGGTAGTGGCACGCTCTAACACTGGCTGCTGAAGGCAGGCTTGCCCCTCTCGACTCCATACCCAGCGCTGATGAGGACTGGCAAACCTCAGCCTCAGGATTTAAGGTGCAGTCAGGATTTAGCCTCCTGTCAGTGATAACACGTAACTTTCATTGCTGGGCACAAGCAGTAAGATATTAAACCGTGAGTGGTGGCTTTTCTCCCACTAACAGTAAATGTAGAGCAGTAACTCACACCAGTGGGAGCGGTGTGTTCAGATCCTCCAGCACACGTTACGGGAAATGCACGCTATAAGTTCTCCATTTACTATTTTGGTGGGCATAACTTTGTTATTTTTCAAGCTGTTTATATTGGCCACCTCAGTGTTTTAATTATTTCACCTGTACATCAGCATTTTAATAAGTCTGTGCTTCAGCCGATTAGGGGGCAAGGAGCCCTCCACCCCCAATTTTAGAGCTTTCTTTCACTGAGTGTGATACCTTAACATTTACAAACTTCATTTACATTTCAACAGAGCATTCATGTGCATGCTGTCAAAGACCCTGTGTGGCATTAAATGATATATTTCAGAGAGATTATAATTGCTAATATAATGGGATCAGGAATATCTGCAGCAGCTGTAGAGAATTGTAACAGGAAAATGAAGGCTGGTATGAAGGCTGAGTGGAAATGCGTGCAAGCACCAGCAGCAACGGCAGAACAGAGGGTTAAAAGAATGGACTGGTTTGTTAACACAGAAAACCATTCCCAGCACAAAAAGACAGAAGGCAAGCAAAAAAGTTTGATAAATGCTGTGTTACCTGGAAGCAGGCAGTCCATCACGAGACAAGAAGAAATAAATACCTTTTACCTCAAGCCATAACACTGTGACATCAGGGTGGGCTCTCGGTGGCATTAGTGCTGTCGTGTCTTGCTTTTGCTTTTAACCTCTTCATGCGGGATATTCGTTTCCCTCCTTCACAGGAACCACAACCAGCAGTTGTGACTCCTTATTTCTTTGTTCTCTGTTGGTGCAATTTCCAAGTCAGTCTACAAACAACTAGATGGAGGCAGCCACCACTAACCTAAGAGCAGCTTCGGGAAGAGCTGATGCCCCTGTAATCCTGGGAAAGAGTCTTATGTTGCAAAATACCATCTGAGAAAAAGGGAAAAGGTGTAATGGTATTTTTGTTTCCACCTGACAAAGCAGACCCATACCATAACTACACGACCGCAGGTAGTGGGATGTATGAACACTTACATTTTCAGCTCAAATACCAACATTTCTGGGCACGCTGCTGTTTGAGTAGATACCAGCTCTTTGGTAGATTTCTGTACTTTCAGAAATAAAAATGCCTCTCAGAAGTGACATTCACGTTGGCCTTTTGGAGCAGAGAGCACCAGAGCAACACCCATTGGGCCCCTGCTTTTCTGCTTGTGGCTTCCTATGAGGGGCAAGGCCAAGAGCAGCCAAATTAGAGAGGGCTCTTATACCGTAGAGGACACACATGGATGATACACCTTTTGAGCAGTCACCATGTGACTGAGAGTTCCAGAGACGCTGCAAAACCAGACCCATAGCACCAAAAACACAGGACCAAGCAGAGCAAGGCACTGCAGAAAGCCCAGAGCTCGCACGTTGACAGCTCTGGTTCCACAAGGTATCCCAATGCTGGTCTGAAAAAGACAAATTTGAAAGCCATTGGCTTTCAAATAACAATCTGCATAGAAGAGGTGATTATTTATGAAACTGCGTACCCAAAGGAGGAAAGGTAAGGTAAGTGCAATAAAAACACGCAATCTAAGACAAAAGTAATGTCTTCAGTGAGATTCTTATTTACTGAAACGAGATTAATTCTGTGCTGGCCTTTTGTTCTGGCTGCAGCTGTCATAAGGAGAACTTGGCATCAAGGGCTCTGGTCTAAATGGGCAAAGCATTAATTATCCTTTAATTTTTCCATCTGTGCTTACAGAGTCCTCAGTGCAAACATTTAGATGGGCACCTAACTCCCTGTTTGCCAGACACAGCTGGATAAATGGATGTGTAAGTGGTGTGTTTGC